AAGCACATTAGATAAAAACTACGTAAATAAATGAAGGTAGGGACTGTCATTAGGAACTGGTTCATTAATTATAACAAATATTTCCCACTAATGTATAATACCAACAATAGGGCAAAACCTTCAAGGGGTATGTAGGAACCTTGCATTACCTTTGTAGGTTTCTATAAATCCAAAATTGCCCTAAAGTCAAAACCTGTAAAAGTGACTAAAATAAGGCAAGTTTATTATTGCCAGTTCTTATAACCTTTCAAGTGAAGAAAAAATTGTTCATTTTAAAAATGATTTAAAATTCTTTAATTTACACCTTAAGCTATTTTAACTTTATTTCCTTTTTATTATTTCTTGCTCCATGCCCAGCATGGCTTCTTCCACGTTAATTTAGAAATGAAGTGATTGGGTCAGGAAGGCCAACAGAGTCAGCTTCAACTTTACTGCTTCCTAGTCTGCCAATTTCTAGTGAATTGTTTTCAACAATCATTCCCAGGGCCAGCAGGATGGCTCAGTGGGTGGAACCCTTGCTACACAAACCCGACAGCTTGCATTCCATCCCCAGGACCCATGTAAAAGTGAAATGAGAGTCCCGACTCCTCACCGTTGTCTTCTGACTTCTACATACACGCCATGGTACACACATGCATACACATCACACATATACACATTACAAACACACATACATACACATCACACACACATACACACATATTACAAACACACATATATACACATCACACACACATACACACATATCACAAACACACATACATACACATCACACACATGTCACACATACACACACACATTACAAACACATACATACACATCACACACACATACACACATATTACAAACACACATATATACACATCACACACACATACACACATATCACACACATAGATACACATCACACACATGTCACACATACACACACATATTACAAACACATACATACACATCACACACATGTCACACATACACACACATATTACAAACACACATACATACATATCACATACATACACGCACATCACAAACACATATACATACACATCACACACACAATAGTAAACACACAAGAATGGTTAAAAAGAAAACAAATTCATTCTGAGATTCATGTTGGTTGCCCTATTTTGCCATCTTGGTGTAAGACCAAACAAAGAGCACAGGCAAGAACTAATTGCTGAACAGTGTAAACCCCTTCCATCAATTAAGTCTGTTTATCATTTGAAGTTACTTGATATGAAGGAGATTCTGATAACGTAATGTAGCTTGAGAAGTTGATTATCTGCTTTCTCAACTAGAACATTCTTCGATAGACTTTTTTTTTTTTTAAGGCCAATTAGAATCCTACTGTAAAGTTTAGAAATCCAGTTTTATAATCCCTCCATATGATCATACTTGTGTAGGAGAGTCATACTAATTAATTTCACGATGTAATGATTTTGAGTCTAAAACACTGAACGGCATATAACTTGGCTACATTCATGGTAACCACACTGTGTGTTTCCTTGTGTGTGTTTCTGGCTGTCGTCATACTTAGAAAGGTACTTAAGGTGAGATTCCTTTAGAGGTGAGAGAACAGGCCAAGGGGGACTGGGTCACTTTATCAGACTGTCTGTAGACCGAAGCGGAGGCAGCAGATTGTCCACGCACCCATAGAAGATCCCCTTTCCAGGTCACGCTAGAGTCTGAATTCCTCTTCTCACAACAATACTGGCTCTGATTGACAAAGGTTCTGTACCAGAGCAAAGTCCCCTGGTACGGATTGAGTAGTAAATATTTTGACCTTAGCAGATCACGTGTTCAACTCCCTCCTGCATCTGGAAGGCAGCCGTAGGTAACAGAACAGACAAGCCGCTTGGGCCACTGTTTGCCGACGATGGCTGCTCATTTGCTTTGCTTTGCTTTCTTTTTTTTTTTTTTTTTTTTTTTGGTTTTTCGAGACAGGGAACTCACTCGGTAGCCCAGGCTGGCCTCGAACTCACAGAGATCCGCCTGGCTCTGCCTCCCGAGTGCTGGGATTAAAGGCGTGCGCCACCAACGCCCAGCTCATTTGCTTTGCTTTTAAAGCTGCTCTCCAAACAGGCCTCCTATTCCATTCCACTCTGTGTCCCTCCCTGTGGATCTGTGTGCAAAGAAGAGCTAACCGGAGGTACAAGATTGCTATTTCTAGAAAGATCTGCTTTGTGGCCACTTGACCAGCTTCTGGGAGCTTAGGTTCCAGGAGAGTTCCTACCAGTCTCTGAATTGTGCGTGGCTTCCTGTGCTTACGCTGTTTAAACATCACAGTCCATCTTCAATACGTTCCTTCTGCTGTTCAGGGACTTGGGTATGCACCATAAGGAGAGTATTAGTACGTCCAGCCCCCAGTAAGAACTGCGGCACCAAGTCTGCAGTACCCTTCCTGGCAGGCAGCATTTTCTACCAGATGTTCTAACTTGTGACTCCTGCAGGAGCAGTTTGGACATGGCTTCCTCCAGACTTTGCCCTGTGTGCCTTTCCCATCTCAATCTGTCACTGTTAGAGCTATACATAAGACTGTCCTATGAGTCCTTCAACAAAGCGTTGGGCCCTAACACACCCTTGTTTCTGGTCTCCTCCTGCCCAGTACAGCACCTGGTCCTTATCACACACTGATCTCTGCCCCCTCTTCGTCCTTATCTAGTACCCCATCCCCCATTCTGGTTTTGTGGGATTCCTTACTTCATCAGACATTCCCAAAATGCCCTGCTCGGCAGCCTCTGGCTTTTGTACTTACATTTTCCCCTGCCTGTGCCTTTTATCTTAGATCTCTGCTCGGTTTTCCCCTCCCTCACTGATGTTTTCATCCAAGTCTGCTCTTCTGGAGTGACTGATTTATCAACTTCTGACTTGGCTCCTTCTTCTTCCCAAGACCCTTGCTGACAAATGAGGATTTGAGACTCACCACAAACCTATACAGTACGAGAGATGGATGTGTTTGTTCTAGAAATTTTCCCTGGCTGGAATGCATTCCACTCTTTTCTCTCCCTCTGTTCCTGTCAAGTGACCTAAGATGTAATATTTGAAGCCCTGTCAACTGTCTGGGAACAGGATGCCATTTGGGAGTAGATAGTATGGCCAAGAGAGCAAGAAGACCAATCCCTTAGAAACCACCTCATTGCTGTTTTTTTTTTTTTTAAGATTTATTTTTTATTTTGTGTGTATATGTGTGTTTATGGGTTTATGCATGTGTGAGGATGTCTGTGGAGCCCAGAGGTATCAGATTCCGCTGGAATTGGAGTTACAGGAAGTTGTGAGCTGTTTGGCATAGTGCTCAAACAAAACTCAGGTCCTTTGGAAGACCGTGAACTTAGCCACTGAACCATATTGCCAGCCCCCCACCCTCTGTCCTTCGAAAAATGCCAGAAATCAACATTGTTTTTCATTTAGCCCTTCCTTTTGTGATTTTCTCTCACTTCAATTTGTCCCAGTCTTAACTAATCCAAGCTCGGATCTGGAGTCTGACGTTTCAAAGCCTAGGAAGAGCCACACAATACAGAACATAGTATGTGATTCCATTCTGTGGACAAAAGAGGAGAGGTGACAAGTAGATTGGCAAACCATGGGAATCTCAGCTACAGGAAACCATTATAGTGATGCTTCCCAAGGAGTCATTCCTCCCCAGGTCCCCACGCATCTTTTCAATGTGATAGTCCTTTTTCTATCAAAGACAGAGTTGGGGACAAAATGAAAAAGATTTGGGTATTCTCTCTTCATTCCCTTAGATCTAGGCTGGACATGTGTTTGGCTTGGGTCAACAAGATGGAACAAATGTAAATCTTGCTGGTTCCAGAGCCTATGTCTTTAGAGAATGTGAAGCATCGACTGCCCTCCCGAAACCTTGACATCATCTTCCTGTGAAACCTGGTATCACTTTTCAGAGGAGAGAAGACACTGGGGGGAGTGACAGGTGTCCCCGGGCAGAGCCACCACCAGCTGCCGGATGTGGGCGTGATGTCTCCTCAGGCCCTTTAGGCTCAGATGAGCCGTTAAGATGACTTCAGCAAATGAATGCTTGCAGGCAAGGCCACCAGAAGTCACTCCTAGATGACATCATGAACGTCTAGGGTTGCTGTCTTTAATAAAGACGCTGGGTTTTGATGAGCATTTTTATGCAGTCAGTTCATAGCCAAAGATTAATCCTGGTGACTGTTTCATGCTGCAGAAAGAGCCTAAAAGAAGGTTGAATTGTGTTGGCAAAGAAGAAGCTTAACGGTTCAGGTTCACTTGCTCAGAGAGAGACGCCACAATCTTTAAAACCTTTAGTGTTAAATGAAGAACACCGCCAATGTGGTAGGTAGCTCATCCCTGTAATCCCAGCACTTTGGAGACTGAGGCAGGAGGACTGCTCTGAGTTCAAGGCCAGCACAGGCTACACAGTGAGCCCCAAGCTAGCCTTTTTACAATGTGATAATCTTGTCTAAAGACAAAACAAAAGAATAGAATGTTCAGCAATGATAAATAACTTCAGGAAGGAGGGTCAGTAAATCAGGAACAATGGATAAGAAATGGAAGATCTGGGTCATGGTCTTCCTTTCATTAACTCATTTTCTAACTTTAAAACATGCCCTGGCATCTTGGTGTTTTTTTTTTTTTTTTTTTTTCAGGGGTAATATGAGGTGTTGTGTGATATTTTGTTTGTGTTCTGACAAATAAAGCTTGCCTGGAGATCAGAGGGCAGAGCACCCAGCCACTAGACTTCTTTCCTCTACGAAATCTCTGATCGAATAAGGCATTCTGTCTTTACGAATCCTCAAACTGAATGGGGACCTAGATTCTCTTTCCACGCGCCTTATATTCCTGTCTCCACCTCTCAAAGTGCTGGGATCAAAGGCACAAGATCCCAAGTGCTGGGATCAAACAAATTTGTGTACCACCACCACCTGGGTCCATTTCTCTTTTAGACTGGTTCAATCTCGTGTAGCCCAGGGTGGCCTTGAACTGCTGATCTTCTTGTCTCCTCCTCGCCAGTGCTGGGATTAAAAGTGTATGCCACCATTGCCTGGTCTCTATGGTTAACTAGTGGCTTGTTCTGCCCTCTGATTTCCTGGCAAGGTTTATTTTTCAGAACACAAACAAAATATCACAACAATGAGGCCTAATCTATTCCTTACTCATCATTCACGAAGCTTCATTCAGTTTTTCCAGCTGGGTAACACTGTTGTGTGTGGGGGGGGTGACGGATTTTAACTTTCCACTTACTCATTTACTACAATTTAGTTTTAAAAGACGCAGATTGCTTTCATAATCTATAAGGACACATTGGAGGCTGAAATCTGCCTGCTTGGAGGAGCTCTGATCTTCTGTGCCTTAAAGATAAGTCATTTACCTTGAAAGTGCTCTTTCCCTTTCCATGGGTTTGAACGCTAAACATGATCACAACCCAACTTTGGTGCCGTTAGGTGACAGTAGTGGGAAATGGAGGAATCTGGGTCCTTGAGTGATGATCCTTGAATACCTGTACTGCTCACAGTACACCTGTTCATTTGTCCTACCCCCAATCCGTGTGTGTGTGTGTGTGTGTGTGTGTGTGTGTGTGTGTGTGCATATTTTGATATTTTTCTGAATTTTTTAGACTTTAAACAGCAAGATCTTGAATTCTCTTACATTCACAAGAATACCTGCACTGCTTCCCCTTTAGAAGGTCCCTGCCTCTTCCATCTGTCCCACCCACACAGGAGAGCTGAGCTAATAAGGCACAGAAAAGGGACATTAGTGTAATGTTCCCCTAGATGGAATCAGTGAACTCACTGCTCCTGCTTGCTTACGTAATAAGTCTCTATCTTGTTCCTTCGCCCTAGTTAGATGGCAGTGCGGGAACCCTGCCCCGGGGCTCAGTTTACATCAGGACCTGCTGCTCCCTTGTCTAGCCCACTTCTCCTTTCTCCTTCCTGTACCCTGCCCTTTGCTTTCCCAACAGCTAGACCACGCATAACCCCCTCAGATCACACAAGGACTTTCAATACTCGGAAGAAATAGACCATTAGACATAAGAACGCTGTAGGGGAGGAGTACTTAGGAGAGACAGAGGACCCAAAGTTTGGTCAGGGGGACGGAGTGTGGCCAACAGTGTCAAAAAAAATAAAAGTACGAAAAGGGCAAAATAAAAGTACACACTAGCAGCAAAAATAAGACAGTTCAAAACCTTCAAATCGTACAAAGTGGATACAAGGAAAATGAAAATTCTTTTCTTCTCCTACATCTTCATCTCAAGCCCTAAAGTGCTCTGGTAAATGTCCTTCCAGATGTATGGTATGAAAACAGACACATCAGTGGATACTTATGTGGGCTTTCATTATATAAAACATACACATTTTTATTATCTGGTCCAGGGAGGGGACTGAACCCAGGGCTTTCTGCATGTTAGGCAAGGACTCTCTCATTTCATCATATCCCAGCCTTGCAGCTTCCTATTCTTTCATGTAGACTCCTTTTCATATCAGGACATATGCATTTTTATCGTCTATAAATAATTGTATAAAGAGTCGGTGAGAGGGCTCCGTGGTTAATAGGATTGCCACATAGACCTGGTGACCTGAGCTTGGTTTCTGGAACTCACAGAAATGTGGAAGGAAAGAAGCAGCGTGGCTTGTGCCCACACACGATACTAACAGAAAGAGCTGAGCAGAAGAGCTGGGAATAGGGCTCGGTGGCTGGTAGATGTTTGTCCAGACTATAGCGAAACAAACACAAAGACTTTCCTACTAAAGAAACATTTAATAAATTAAACCCCTTTCGTATCATCTGGGATTGAAACGTCTATTTCCTCCTATACTCAGTATGTCCAGAAACATTTTATCCATTGGCTTATTGCGAATATTGAGAAAAGGACCGCGTCTGTACACTTTTACACCTCCCCAGAATATGTGCGCGAAAACTTTGGATGTGTAAGCATGTGGAACTCCTGTTTCCCGCTGGGAAACTTGCCATGGGGGTCACTCTGGAAAAATCAAAAGAAAACTGCTTTCAAGGATCTTTATAGGAAATGGAAACCAACAGTTGAAATCCTGTAAAATTTTAAAGTCTAAAATAGAAGGCCTAACCAGTTCAGAAAGGAGAACTTATATAGTATCAGCCAGGGCTATGTAGTGAGACACCGTCTTAGCGGTGGTGGCCACGCCTTTAATCCCAGCACCCAGAGGTAGGGGCAGGCGGATCTCAGAGAGTTTGAGGCAAGTTTTTTTTTTTTTTTTTTTTTTTTTTTAATTATTTTTCAGATTTTTTTTTTTTAAATGACACATCCCAGGTAATGTTTGGGCTTTTCCCCTCAAAATCCTACAAGGACTTCGAATTATGGCAACATTTTCTGGAAAAACTGAGTAAGGTAGAACAGTTTTTAAAAAGTGAGCTGCATCTTGTTAGTTGCCTTCAGAGCTGAGAGAGAGAAACCAGTGACCTGCAAGTGGTGGAGGATAAATAGCCAGTGCAGTTTATTAGACAGAAAAGGATACTTCCATATGTTAAAGACATTTCAAAGGAAAGGGCCAGACATTGTTTCCTTAATAATGCTGGGAGCTGGGGGTGTGGCAAGGTTGGTAAAGGCTCTTTGCCCACAAGCCTGAAACCCTGAGTTTGGTTTTTGGATCCACACACTGTGAGAACAGAGATCCGACCCCGACTTGTCCTCTGATCTGTCTCTCTGTCTCTTTATCACCACCACCCCCCCACCACACACAGGGGGATATAAATAAATGTAATTAAAAATGAATGCTGGCAAAGGGGCTATGAATATAGCTCAGTCAGTAAAACAATTGCTTAGCATGTCCAACGCCCTGCGTCCTATCGTAACTACTATGTAGAAGTAGTTATGATTCCAGCACTTGAGAAGTGCAGCCTGGAGGATTGGAAGTTTGAGTTTTTCCTCTGTTCTACACTGAGTTGAAGGCCAACCTGGATCAGATGAGACCCTGTCTCAAGTAGAAAAGCAAGCCGGGCGGTGGTGGCGCACGCCTTTAAATCTCAGCACTAGGGAGGCAGAGGCAGGGAGATCTCTGTGAGTTCAAGGCCAGCCTGGGCTACAAAGTGAGTTCAAGGCCAGCCTGGTCTACAAAGTGAGTTCTAGGACAGACTGCAAAGCTACACAGAGAAACCCTGTCTCGAAAAACTAAAAAAAGAAAGAAGAGGGTTGGGGATTTAGCTCAGTGGTAGAGTGCTTGCCTAGCAAGCACAAGGCCCTGGGTTCGGTCCTCAGCTCAAAAAAAAAAAAAAGAAAGAAAAAAGCTGAAAAAATATCATTATCATTCTTTTTTTTTTGGTTTTCCGAGACAGGGTTTCTCTGTGTAGCTTTGCGCCTTTCCTGGAAGAGAAAATATCACTCTATTGAACATTTTATCACAGCTTTGCACCACATAGACAGATGAAAGAACTAAATCAGCCATCCTGGATGCGATGGCTCAAGGCTCATGACTGTGAACCTAGCACTTGGAAGGATGAGGCAGAACTGTGGACACAAGTGTGAGGCCAGCCCTGGGCTACATGGCGTGAATTCTAGGACAGCATGCGACCGTCTCAAAAACAACACACCAACCACAAAGTGCATCCGTGACAAATTGCAGGGGGACCCAGAAGAAAGCTGATGCCATCTCTTATGAGGAAGGACTGTCTGCATCAGAAAAGTACGGGAGAAAGAGAACAGAGCTAGACTATTTAAAGGATCAGGTTTCTGTACTTAAAATACAGACGGAGTGGCAACTCACAGGCTAGGGAAGGTGTGGGGAACGTAAGTTACAGAGACTGTTCCTACCGTTGTCGAAACTCCAGCACCAGGCATCTCTAACTCCAAGCCAGTCTGTCTTAATCCCTCACAGATTGTGTCTGGTAAAAACCATTACACCACGTTCACTGGTCTAACACATCCATTCTTCCACCTGGCCCAGCGGCCTGTCTCCAGCCCGCCCCTCACACTTCCAGCACCTCCCCTCCACGCCCGCTCTACACCGGTGGTCTTGCTTATTTCTCTCGGCACGGCAGACATAAGAACTTCCAACCTCTCCTGTCACCATCTCAGACCACCCTCCAGTTCCAGAAGACCTCTCTCTGTTCTCCCCTTGTCACAGGGTTCCAGTTCCGTCCCTGTCACCTACCTGAGGCCCGGCATGTATCTGCAGCAATCTGGTTTCCCTCCTCTCAACTGAGCCTTGCTCTTCAGCGTTGCCATAACATAAGCATTGCTTAAAAAAACAGAAGAAATGTTGGGCCAGTGAGATGGCTCGTGATTAAACGTACTTGGCACCGAGCCTGTAGACCCCCAGGACCCACATTGTAAGTAGTCCTCTCTCTCTCTCCCCTTCTCCCTCTCCCCCATTTCTCTCTCTTGCATACATTAAATAAATAAAAATGTGATAAAAATGTTTGGAAAGTCCTTTATCCCATTCCTCTGCTCTCTTGCAGCAAGCCTCCTGGTAGAAGCGACGCATGCCTATTTTGATGTATCCCACTCCTGGACTTCTTTTCACCTCACAGTGACCGACTCGTCTTTCCGGAAACATCTGGCTCATCTGCCATTCATCACACTTCTCTCCTCAGTGTTCTTTCCTCTGCATGGCGTTTACGTATCTAAAACGACCCTCCTTATCTTTCCGCTCCCCCAAAAAACGGTTCACTTGGGTTCTCAACAACTCCATGGTTGTATCTGTTCAGACTCAAGGTTGGAGTCACACTTTACTCTTCCTATTTCAATAGTGTAGTCATTTGGTGGTTATTTCTGCTATGCCGGTGCCACTGGGCCATGGTCCCTGCCACTGTGCTGATGTTGGCGTTGCCACATCTCAAGCGGGTTAGTAAAGCCGCCAGATGGCCCTGCTGCCAACCGTGTTAGCACATCAGGCCAGATCTCCAAACACTTAAATGGCTTCTTGCCTCCCAGTAAAATCCAAAGACTGCACAAACCCTGTGTGTATGACCTCCCCCTCCCTCCCTTCCTTCTCAGCTCCTAGACTCTCCTCATTCACTGTTTCAGTTACGGAAGACTCTTGTTACTCCTAGAAAATGATGCTTGAACCTTTTCAGTGGCTCTCTCTCTGTGCCTGCTGCCTAGACCCAAATACCCCTTGGCTGCTCCCTTCTTTATAGCTTTACTCAAATATTATCCTGAGTACTCTGTAGTCCACCCACTTGTAGCTTCAGGCCTACCTGCAGAATCCCCGAGCACTCTGATGCTCTACTTACAGATGCATGTCTATTCCTTGCTTTATTTTTCACCCTATTGTTCATAATTCCCTAGTTACTATATAATTACACCAATTCATTCTGTTTACCCCTTTAGAATGTAAGTTCCATAACGTCATGGATTTTTTTGGTCCTTTTTTTATTCTGATGCAGCCTCAATCCTAACAAAGGTAAGTTTAGTATCAATAGGTTAATTATGTTTAATGCCTATGCAAAGTACACAAGGAAATATATTTTCAAAATTTCCCGAATGTAATTTGATTATATAAAGTTATACCCAGTAATTTCACTCCCAGAAGTCCATCATTATAACTAACTAGTACAAGGAAACACTGGTCCAGGTAACTAAGAGGTAAATGAAAAATGTTTTGTTTTAAAAACTATCTTAATCTTCTGTGCTTTTCAGGCTTGGTTGTACATTGATCATTGCCTGGGGATGTGTTATAAATGTGTTGAATGTTGATGTCAGCCCCACTGTGACAGGTCCAATTGTGGATTGACTTTCTTTTCATAATATCATCAACCATTAGTGATTATGACTGGAACAAAGGAATTCATTAGGGACTACAGATGGTATTTCTGTTAACATCCCCTGGCTTATATTTTTTCATCCACAAAACAAAAGGTTTTATGTTGGAATCCCTACTTCCTTGGGACTGAAGGCCACCTGAAGATACACAGTCTCATGGACTAACAACTATTGGATTCTTGGTCTTTCTGTCAGGAGATAGCCATTGTTGAACTAGCTGGACCACAGCCTATCAGTTACTCTAATAAATTCCCCTTTTTTATATCAGTTTTGTTTCTCCAGAGAACTTTAATACAGAGCATTGACTCTTCTTCATGGTGATTTGAAGGTGTGAGCTTGACAATGCTCCAAAATAAGAGCTGGGCATCCGTTTTTATTGTTGAGAAATTACCACAGTAAATCAGAAATCTGTGGCCTTGTTTTTCCTTTGTGAAAGAGTCTGGATATATAGCTCAGGTCATCCTTGAACTTGTGACCCTCATGTCTCAGCTTCCCAAGTGCTGGAGATTACAGGGCTTTGTCAATAAAGCAGTTTGTAAGTGGGAATTCTAAACAGTCCTAAGACCACTCCAGCCTGTGTCTGGAGTGAGGTTCGGGGCTCTGATACTTTCTGTTAGGCTTGTTAAGGGCTCTGAGACCTGCCACACTGAGTTTTACAGTGTTTTATGTATTTGTTCACACATCCCTTCAAGTTTACACAGGACACTAGGAAACGAGTGGACAGTAGCAACTCTGTGCATCCCAGATTAATCGTTCTCACAGTGCTGTAAGACTGACCCCATGGAAGGCCCCACCCCCCCTTTCTACTTTCTGTGAAAATCATGATAGGTACCTCAACCAATAAGCATGTTGTCTCAGTTAGTTCTGGTTGGACGTAGTGTTTTTGATTGTTCATAAGTAGTAAATTTAGGAAACTATTGAAAGATAGGATATACTGGAAACAAGCTTTTTGGAACACAGAAGCCAAAGTTGCCTATCCCATCCTTGAATGATAATATAAATGATTCGGATTAATCTCCCAAGAGAAACTACAAATTTATTATCCACTACAGATTTCATGGCCATACAACCCCCAATCAGGCACTGGGGATTATTCTGAATTAAAAAGCCTTCAAAAAAAAAAAAAAAGGCCAATTATTCATTTAGATAAAGAAATATGCATTTTAGATGTTTGTTTTGTAAGAAAATTTTTACAAGCATAAGGTTTAGGTCCCAGCTCTATAACTGGGTGTCATGAAAAGCGTATCATTGAGAGAACTACTGAGTATAAAGGGCTTGTCGGTCTACAATGCCAGCTAGAGAGCAGATGCTTACTGTCTGCTACAGTTACTCCAGGTCATGGGTAGACAGGCAGTCTAGCATAACAGGTTTTTTTTTTAAATTTATGTTTATGTGTGCTGGTGTTTTGTCAGCATGCATGTTTGTGTACCACATGTATGTATTGCCTGCAATTGTTAGATCCCTGTGTATGCTTGGAATTAAACCCCGGACTTCCTCTGGGAGGGCAGCCAATGCTCTTAACCACTGAACCCCTCTCCAGGCCCAGAAAGAGTTCTTGATACCCCCGTCCTTCTCTGCTTCCTTTTTCTTTTCTTTTTTCTTTCTTGAGATGGTTTGTGTAGCCTTGACTGGGCCAGAACTCACTATGTAGACAGGCTCGAGGCTGGTCTGCCTTTGCCTCTGGTGCTGGGGTGAAGGGCTTGCACGTCAGACCCTGCTTTGTTTTCTTTCCTATCAACCACCGACTCAGGAGTAGCTGGAACCTATCGCCATCGCCCTCCACTGAACTGTGTGTTCCTGCTGCAGTTTCTCAATGTGGCCTTTGGGTTAGTGAGAAAGCGGCTGCAATCTTAAGGGTGGGAACTCTGTGCTGGGGGAGGAAGTGAGAGAGGATCAGCTGAGTCTGTCCTGGGGGCAGTCGGGTGCGTAAGGGCAGGGCCAGCCCTCTGCATTAGCTTCTGCTTTTTTTTTTTCTTCTTTTCTTTAGAACTCACTCTGTAGCCCTGGCTGGCCTCGAACTCACAGAGATCCACCTGGCTCTGCCTCCCGAGTGCTGGGATTAAAGGCGTGCACCACCAACACCTAGTTTAGCTTCTGCTTTTTACAGGGCCTGCTTTCTTTATTTGGTGTGTGTGTGTGTGTGTGTGTGTGTGTGTGTGTGTGTTCTTTTATTGAATATAGCTTTTTTTTTCAAACCATATATTCTGATCATGGTTTCCCTCCTTCACCAACCCCTTCTAGGTCCTCCCTACCTCCTCTCCCATCCAAATCCACTCTCTTGCTTTCTCTAGTTAGAAAACAGGCATCTAGAAAGCAGTAATAAGATAAAACAAACAAATCAGAATAGGATTAAAAACAAACAAACAAACAAACAAACAAATGTAAGAAAAAGAGCCAAAGAGCCATGTGGCAGTGGCACACGCCTTTAATCCCAGCACTTGGGAGGCAGAGCCAGGCAGATCTCTGTGAGTTCGAGGCCAGCCTGGTCTATAGAGAGATCAAGGACAGGCAACAAAACTACACAGAAAAACCCTGTCTCAAAAAACCAAACCAAACCTAACCAAAAAGACCCTCAAAAAACAAAAAACACAAACAAGCAAAAAACAAAGAAAAAGCACAAGAACCACACACAGTCACAGCGACACAGGTTTGCACACAGGAATCCCACAAACCCACAAATCGAGAAACCATAATATATATGAAAATGACCTGTAAGGTTAATACAAGAAAATGCCTGACAAAGAATCTCCAGAAGTGCCACTGAGCTGGTTTTGTGTTGGTCACCTACTACTAGGCATAGGTCCTGGCCTCAACAGTGGTTTGTATCACCAGTCAGATGGTGAAGAAAACTAACTTTTCACTTGTGAGCAGTTATCAGTTGGAGGTAGCTTCTGGGTTTGGGATGGGGGCATGTATCCACTTCCTCTGTCTGCCAGTGCTGGGACCCCATCTGGCCCATGCTGGGCCTGGCTTCTTAAGTGTTCAGGTCCTCTTTATGAAATGTGTATATAATTCTAAGCAGTTCTCCTTAATTCTCTTTATGAGGACAAATGGTTGAGAATTCAGGGAATGGCTACTCCTGCCTCCCCCCACCCCAGTTTTATTATTATTATTATTATTATTAATGATTTTGTGAGATAGTGTTTCTGTATAGCCCTAGCTGTCCTAGAACTCCTGCTGTAGACCAGACAGACCTAGAACTTGGAGATTGCCTCTGAATGCTGGGATTAAAGATGTGCTTCCCGGAGGTGGTGGTGCACACCTTTAATCCCAGCAAACGGGAGGCAGAGGCAGGTGGAGCTCTGAGTGTTCAAGGCCTACAGAGTGAGTTCTAGGACGGCCAGGTCTGTTACACAGATGTCTGGAAAAACCAATAAATAAATAAGATAGATAAATAAATAAAATAAGTAAAAAATAGAAGAATTCGGGGGCTGAAGAGATGACTCAGCAGTTAAGAGCACTGGCTGCTCTATCAGAGGACCTAGGTTTAATTCCCAGCACCCACATGGCAGACTGTAACTCCAGTTCCAGGGGATCTGACATCTTCACACCAATGCACATAAAGTTAAACGATTAGGAAAAAAAAAAAAAAGATGTGCTTCACTTTCCTGCTGCTCTATTTTTTTGAACGTGGCTTGAAACCAATTTTTAAACTTTCAAAAAGCTCATCATCAAACCTTTCAAACAAGATCCAACTTAAAAGTACTGTATTGCTTTTATGAGAATGTTTTTACCTGCATTACAAAAACAAACAAACACCTTTCAGAAGAGTCCAATTGAAGTGGCTGTCAGATACCACGATGGAAGCTTAACTATTGATTTTAAAGTTTACACAATCAGCTACCAACGCCAGTTGGCTTGTCTGTAAAGCTCACACCCGTCTTTTTCAGGTTTCCCGTCGCAATTGCATGATTAGTTCATTTTAGTTATTACATAAAAGTCAAATACAAATTAGAAAAGGGCTAAAGGAAAATGAAACCTCTGTGGGACTTAACTACCTAGGGTTATTTTTAGCAACAAAGGAGGTTAACAAGTTGCTTGAAGATCTTTCCCAATTTTAAACACGCCTAAAGTAGGAAGGTTGGTGGGCGAGTTCCCCTGGGATGGGAAGCTGCGGCAGGGCAGCCAGGCTCTCCCTCCCTCCTCGATCCCGCTCCACCGCCCTCCCCGGAGCCCTGTTCCTTCTCCACTGCACGTTTGCCCTACCCACGGGGTCCGGAACACCAGCGTTCCACGTGATCGCGGTGCTAAAGGGCAAGGTTGGGCGGACAGAAGGCCCGAGAGACCGGGAGAAGCTGCCCGAGCCCGCAACCAGCGGCCAAAGACCGAGCTCGGCAGAAACCCGGAAGACCTGGTGAGAGGAGGGTGTGGCCGAGCGCGGATTGGAGGGCCGGGGGCGGGGCCTGCGCGGATAGGGGGTGGAGCTAGAGGGAAGGGTGTGGCCGAGCGCGGGTTGGACGCCCGGGGGGCGGGTTTTGCGCGGATAGAGGGTGGGGCTAGAGGGGAGGGTGTGGCCGAGCGCGGGTTGGACGCCCGGGGGGCGGGTTTTGCGCGGATAGAGGGTGGGGCTAGAGGGGAGGGTGTGGCCGAGCGTGGGTTGGAAGCCCGGAGGGGCGGGGCTTTGCGCGGATGGGGGCGGAGCTGGAGGGGCGGCGCCCGGGCCGCGGCGCTGCGTTCCGCCCCGAGGGGGGGCGGGCCGAGTGGGCGTGGCGACGTCGCGTGACGCCACAAGGGGCGGGGCGCGGTCTAGTAGTCCCTGCTCTGGGCCGCCGTCGGCAGTCGCCGCTGGGGGACGCGGGCTGCGCGGTTGCTGTGTTGCTGCTGCTGCTGCGCGGCCGTCGTTTTTTTGCAGTCACGGTCTCTTTCCCGGAGCCGGGGACGGAGGGGTCGCCCGCGCGAGTGTGCGTGCGTGCGTCCGTGCGTGTGCGTGCGTGCGAGGGCCAGCGAGACTCGGTCGGGCAGGGCCGTCCCCGCTGCCTCCCAGCCCCTTAGCCGCCGAGGCGGCGGTCCGCACGCACCCTCGTTGGCTCGCCGCCCACACGGTGTGCCGAGCGAGCGCGTCGTCTTTTTGATTTTGGAACTTGTGAGCGTCTTTTTTTTTTTCCACCCCCTCCTCCTGTCCTCCAGGTTTTTTTTTCTTTTCTTTCTTTTGGCGTGGTGCCTCCAGGGCTGGTCTCCCCGGCCCCTGAAATAACCGCTTCCTGACCCCGGTCGCCAGCCCCGCCCCAGGTTGCCCACCTCCCCTCCACCCCCCAGGCTCTGCCCCTGGCCCCGGAGGGTGGGAAGCTTTGCCCAGCGGGGTCTCCGCAGCAGCGTAGCCAGCACCTGCCTCAGTATGCTTGGGGTCAGCGACCCTCCTCTTTTCATAAAAGACATTAAGGCCGGACTGAAAAACTTAAATGTCGTCTTTATTGTCCTGGAGATAGGTAAGTGGGGTCCGCAGCCCGCCCCACACCCTCGAGCGCTCGGACCTCTTCCCCGCCCCGCGCCCCCACGTGCTCCCGGCCAACCTAGCCCGGACTCGGCTCCTAGCCCGGGACAGAAGCCAGGCATGTAGCGTGCCCTAGGAGGGTGAGACAGCTGCCCTGAACCGGACTCGTTATCTAACATATCCTCTCCCTCCCTTTGATTTTTAAATCTTCACAGGACGCGTGACCAAAACCAAAGACGGCCATGAAGTGAGGTCCTGCAAAGTAGCTGATAGAACGGGGAGCATCACTATTTCTGTGTGGGATGAGATCGGAGGGCTCATACAGACAGGGGATATTATTCGGTTGACCAGAGGGTAGGTGTGCGTAAATTGGGGGTAGGTGTGGAGTTGGCCGACTTAAGGGGGTCCTGCCAAGTTTTGAGTCGCCTAGCTCTTCCGTGGGCTGCTCCGAGAAGCTCTGCGCTGTTTTGGTGGGCAGAATTGGCAGCAGCTCGCTCACCCTTTGCAGCTAAGAGTGTTTCAGGTAGGGAGTTCACTGCTCCCCTCCAATTTTAAAGGTTAGTTATATTTTTTTAAGAGAATGCATGGGAGTCAGTGAGCTTTTTTAGTAGGCTGATAGGACCAAAGTAGCTTTATAATCAGCCCGTGCATTCGGTATGACTTCCACTTCCTTTTTTAGTGCCTTGAAACCCTGTCAACACTGTTGGCACTCATCATTTAGGTGGTGTGGACATAAACTGAGCAACTGGGAAATTTTGCCCTTCCTGCTTCACCTTTTGGAAAGTGTTTTGGAAAGTGTCTCCTGTATTCCAGGTTGTTTTTGAACTTTTAAGATGCCCGGGAGAATGAGCTTGAACCTCTGACCTTCCTGCCTCCACTTCCCAGGTGGTGTGATTACAGGCATGTACCCAAATGTCCTGAGGATGAGCCAGAGGCCTCCCACATGCCAGGCAAGCATTCGGCCCTCTTGAGGCCCAGCTTGAATTTAACATTTTTCTGTGGTCACGTTTGTACTCAGAAAAGATAAAGACAGTGTCTCGGATACACATTCATTCTTGAGAATGATTTCTTCTGTAAGATCAGTGTTTCCCAAACCCCCAAATTCACAGAAAGTGGCAGAAGGGGCATCTGATACATGGAGAACATCTTTAGTTGGCAAACTGTTGGCCATAGAGATGGAGCCTTGTTTTTCATCAACTTTTGAAGTTTTTACCAAATGTTAGTCTTAAGAAAAGGCCAGGGAAGAATCTTAGAAATGTGGAAGCTTATGTGATTAGGAGAACTGTAATAATTTTATTGGTAACTACCAGAAAAATAGTTGGCAATTGATGTTGGCTAAGACTCGGGGAGAAGTGAAGTATTTAGTCTTCTGGACGGGAGTTCTTTGATACAGTCGTACAGGCCTTACAACATTTTCAGGAAGTGAGGTCAAGTATCATCAAAGCAGGAAGTGAGAGTCAGGAGTTAGACATCTTATTCTCAAACACTGAGTCATATTGCAACACTAAATTACATCTTAACTTCTGCAAAAGAGAATTCCTCCTTTGGAGGCTATGGTGAGGACTCTAGTAGCAATAATAATAATAATAATAATAATATTAATATTAATAATAATAATACATATTTTAAGCCATGAAGTTACCTTAGTAGTTGTACAAAGAAACATTGAAAAACCAGATATTTTCCTTAGATTTAATGATGTCATACACATTTAAAATTGGTCAGAGTAAACAATTAGTTCCATTATATTGATATGAAAAGTTGCAAAATTTGGGAAGGCTGGCAAGGCAAGAAGAAGATTAGTGATCCTTTTTTTCCCATTTATTTTTTGCTCCTTGATAAAGTTGTGCTAAATTTTGAGGAGCATGGAAACTGTGTCTGCAGAAGTAGTAGTAAAACTTATATCTTCCTGACCATGTCAGTAAGCATGAAAGAAAAGACTAGTGTGTTGAATTCTCATCCCTGTGGCTGGAAGGGAGTGCAAATGCTGAATTCCTGGTATCAGCAGCTCCTTCTTAGAATGCACTTGAACTCTTCTCTTTCCCGGGTGTTTCTCGCCCTCCTGTCCTCTTAACTAAGCTGCACAGAAATCGTGTGCTTTCCTCTAAATGTGCAATGTAGAGAATTTTACAGATGTTCCTTCTGTTGAGATTAGGTGTCTGTGTTTTAAAATAATTTTAATTGTCGTCCAACAGTTCACTGAGAAGGTATAACATTTTTTTCTAAAAAATAGTTTGGAGAGCTTTAACCAATGAAACCAATTCTTCACCGACGGAAAAGCAGCTCCCCCTCTGTTAACTAATAGGAACAGCAGTGCGTGCTTTCCCAGAACACCACTCCTCCCCCTCCAAGTGTCCTCTTTGAGGCTGGCCTCAGATTTGAGTTTTTCCTGTTTCAGCCTTCTCAGTGCTGGGATTCAAAATGTGCGTCACCGTGTCTGAAGTTAGGCCTAGGAGCCCATGCCTGACGTTCCAGTTCCTCGTGAGGCTGAGACAGGAAGATGGCAAAGTTGAGGGCTAGTCGGCTACTGAGCAAGTTCAAGACCAGCCTGGGCAACTTCCGGGGATGCCTAAATATAAGGCTTAGAAACAAGATCCTGTAACTTAGTGGCTGAGTACTTGCCTAGCGCAAGGAAGGCCTGGGATTAGTTTTTTCCAGCAGTGCTCAAAAATTTCTTCTAGGGTTAAGATTTAGATGATTATGTCATAATGTGGCGGTAGAATTTTCTTTGTGTAATTCTTTGTGGTTTCTCTGTGTAGCTTTGGGGCTTGTCCTGGAACTCATTCTGTCTACCAGGCTGGCCTCGAACTCACAGAGATGCGCCTGGCTCTGCCTTCCGAGTGCTGGGATTAAAGGCGTGCGCCACCACCTCCCGGCTTGTAATTTCTTATTAGAGTTACATGGACTATATTTGACTTGAGGTAAATGGGTTGGTTTGCAGTTCTACCTAATACAGAAATATACTGAAAATTTAATAGAGCTGTACATTCTTCTGAAAACCTGATTTATTTTCCTTCTAGGTATGCGTCAATGTGGAAAGGATGCCTGACACTTTATACTGGAAGAGGTGGTGAACTTCAAAAAATTGGGGAGTAAGTATTAAGATATATTTTGTATGATTAAGTTTCAAATATGTCTGCAGAATAAACAGTAAGTATAAGCTATAAACCGCTTACTGGGCCTTTGGAAACTTGGTTTCATGCTGTAGGTAGGTAACTGGTTTAAACACTGTCAGTACTCAGCTGCGTTGAGCAGCCCCGGTGGGGCCCTTTAGAGTCAGGATTATGAAACGTCTTTGGGTCAGGATTACAGCGTCTTGTATATAGAGATGCCACAGTAATGGAGGTCAGCGAGGTGAGGAACCACAGGAAGTTACTCATTTTACTCCTGGCTGTTTCTTGTGAGGGTCAGTTTAAGATTTTCCCAAACTGGATCTAGTTTCTTTTTAGAATTGAAGAGCTAAGAAAATGCTTATGTGTGAACAGGGTACCAAGTGTGTTGTCAATTACAAGAAGCCCTGGGAGGAAGTGGTGGCTTGCTAGCCAATTATCTGTCTTAATCATCTAGAATTTATTCTTTACCTTTGATTATCTTTGCAGATTCATAGTGATCAAAAGAGGGATTCGATGAGAATCACATAGTTGGGTGTTAATATGGGATGTAGTTATTTAGGAAATTTTTATTACAGATGAATTAGCATGCTACTGTTAAGGTAATTCTTTGACACCTAAGGTTTTCATTCTTGTAGGTTAAGGAGGTTATACAAAAAAATCATTTAACTTGTCCTTTGCTTTCAGGTTTTGTATGGTGTATTCAGAAGTGCCAAATTTCAGTGAGCCAAACCCAGATTATAGAGGGCAGCAGAACAAAGGGGTAATTAATCCAAATACATGGTATATTTTTATGATTGGGTTACGTTGACTCTTTACTATGATTCTGTCAGTAGGCCAAACCTCTGATGTCCAAAGGGTAATGAAAAGAACTGTAAGACATGTTGACTGGGGATATAGTGCAACTGATAGCCTGCTTGCCTAGCATGCATGAAGTCCTGGGCTCAGCCCCAGGGCTTCCTAAGACTGGCGTGGTGGTGCCTGCCTAAAGTCCTGTTCTCAGCAGGTTGGAGGTGGGGGGAAAGGAATTCAAAGCCATCCTTGGCTTCATAGCGAGTGTGAGGCCAACTTGGGCTTTATGAGACCCCGTCTCAAAAGAAAAAAAATCTTCAGGTAACCTTTATTACATAGGTTCTGAGAGTCTGTATATACTTTGTGATAATAGATATATGTGCTGTTTAGTATTTTGCAGAGTAGAGGTACTATCAGGGTGTAATAAAGGTTTTAAGAGGCTTGCGGAAGATTTCTGAATGCTTTAACATTGAACGGACTTAGACAAATCTTTAAATATTGTTAAATCATTTTTTAAAGCCTTAAAATTTAAAAATTATTTTATACATGAGTTACTTCTGTCTTCATTTGTCTAACTTAAAACTTCTTTCAGGTATACAATGAGAAGGATAAAGGGAGCGCCAGTACATATGGGCCAGTGGGTAAGACTTTTTCCATATTTGTGCTGACATGTAAACATTACGAGAATGATGAAAAATGTAAAGGAAAACAATCTCTTTAGGTATAATTTAGTGTTAAACGGCAACTCCAGTAGACAAGGATACTCAAATAAATGATTTTGTAAGACTTGGAGATACTTGTCCAGGCCAATGTATTGAGCACATTCTGTATTTAAACACTGGGGCCCATTATGCTGAACATTGATTAGTAAGAAGACTAATTTTGGTAACCCTCTGACGACGAGATCTTTTACTTTTTAATTTTTGCAAATGTGTATGATGTAGTGGTTATCTATAATATATGCAGAATTACTGGTTGTTTTGGCATGTTGGAAGCTGTCCAGACAAATGATGCTGTAGAGAAGCAGTCGGTGACTACTTTAACATTCCTCATGTTCTTGGTTGTCTTTTAAAAGAGTAGCCTGTCTTCTCAGACCTCACCAGTGATCCTTGGAGACCTAATAAAGGTCTTTTGTCTTTAAGTATCCGAGGATATGTCTTTGAGATGCATCTTTCTGTGGTTGTTAGGGTCGCCGAAGACTTGTGATCAACTCACATTGTGGAAAATCTGTATGCCAATAGTTTGATTGCATCAAAACATTAATTGTATTTGAGTCAAACACCAGTACTCAAACATCTCTGCTCCCTCCTCTTTTTACAATATTAGGCAATTCATGTTTTTTTTTAAATACTCTATTCCTTATTTTATTGCTCAAGTTAGATTTTCTTCTTTCTATTCACTCAGTACCAAGGTGATGTATTTGGTAATAATACTGTTACAGAGCCCTAGAGCCTACATCTTTTTTCATTATAGAATGAAGGTGCTTGTTTTCTATAATATTCATAAGCCTTTACAGTGTGTGTAGGAGCTTCAAATGATAGTTTCTGTAGCATAATATAGACTACTTCTGAAAATGGTGATTTTTTTTTTTTGTATCCTCATCTTAGGAAATGGTGTTCAGACTGGCCCCGAGTCAAGGGGATATCATCTTCCATATAGTGGTAGAAGCAATGTCCGGGAACCCATCAGTCCACAGCTACCAGGAGCCCGTTGTAGTGAAACAGTCATGACCACAATAAGTAATGCCAGGGATCCGAGGAGAGCCTTTAAGAGATGACCTAAGCCAAAGAGACACGTGTAGTCTTTAAACTACGTGCCCTACTTGAACACTTAGTGCACTTTTATTTCTCGTTAACTGTGAAAAGTTCGTCTCTTACGGGTTTCCTTTTACATTGTTGGTTTGTTAAGAAGAATGGTTGGTTTTTATTGCAAAAGTTAAGCTGCTGCTCGGTTACATCCTATCGAAGAATAGGAACTTTGAAAGCAGGAACATTTATTTTTAGAGCAAGAACTTACTGGGTATCACTTGAAAACCTGTCCCTGTTTCAAGGGTGAGTTACTTAAGACACCAGCTTTATGGCCTCTGGATCTTCTGCGTACTCTCTGTGATGTTTGCCATAACATTTCATGGGAAATGTTCTTCTGTCTTACCTGGGATGTTGCCACCTGAAGTGATAGCCCCCAAGCCCGAAGCCTGGCCAGTGCGATGGTACTTCGAGTGCCTGTTCCCGGGATGACTGGCTTGCTAGAGTGACCACACTGCCATTCAGGCTGTTCAAGGACAAAATCGTCCTAAATTCTTGTTTAATTACCAGAAAACCAGATTCCTTATCAGAATTATGGAATAAAATGTGTAATATAACAAGTCATTTTTAGGCAAAAACTGTTCAAGATAATGCTCTTGCCATCTGTTAAAAAACGTTGAAGAAAAATTTACAGTGGAGTCCTTGAATGTTTTATTTTTGAAACAACCATGTTAAATATTAGTGTGATTGGAGGGAGTTGCAGTACCGCAGCGGACAGTGATCTCATTAGTACTAGTTGTAGTAATTTTGAGACTCAGTCTTACTGTGTAGCCCTGCCTGGGCTGGAACTTGTCATGTAGACCAGAGGGGGCTCTGAACTCTGATTTTCCTGCTGCTGTCTCTGTCTCCTAGATGCTGGGGTTAAAGTTGTGCACTGCCATACCAGGCTGATCAGATTATTAAAAAAAAAACAAAAACCAAAAACTTGTGGTAGATAAATATTGTAGCAAATGCAATTCAGATTGAATTTTTATAGCCATGTGACTACCTGTTACAGGTCGTCAGATAGAAGGAAAAAGGCTGGGGTAGGTACTGCCTTTCTTCTGGAGGAGTGTGTGAGTGTGTGAGTGTGTGTGTGTGAGTGTGTGTGTGTGTGTGTGTGTGTGTGCACTTTAGTTTCTGAACACATCACATAGCCTTATTAGCAAAAGATAAATGGCGCAAGAAGTATATACCTCAGTTAGAAATGTTAGGGTGGGGTTTGTGTGTCCTGGTACTTCTGTTTACTGTAGGGGTGGGTAAATTGGTAGATATTTTCATTGTTAGTTTGTCTCTTTAAATGTTACCTCCTGAGTAAATCCCTTGCTCTGCTGACGGACGGCACAGCCACCAGCTCTGCTCTGTCCCCAAGCGTGGAGAGGCCGGCCGAGTTCCCTGAAGCTGAGTCGGCTTCAGCCTGGCTGCTGTCCAGCTCTGTACCTGCCGTTTCTCCTCACCTCCCTGTACAAAAAGTGAGTTGCTATTCAAAGTCTGTAGCATTTGGATATAATCTGCGCCAGATTTTGTTCTAATTCCGTTTAACAGATTTTCAGTTTGCACTGTATTAGGCTCCGTGTGGAGATTATTACAACATTTGAGAAATTGCAGGGAATTTACATATGGTTTATAGGTATAGTGCTTTGATATTATAGATAATCGGTCATTTGTTCATACATTAATAATTATAGCTAATTTGGTTTTGTAATTTATGATTTTTTTTTGTTTGCATTACCGAATGCTTCAAAAAAAGTTACCTAAGAGTTAAATAACTTGTGTTTTGTGATTACAGATGTTTTAAATAAAAATAAATGACAAACTAATGTTGAAATTTTAAGAGGTAGGAAAACGGTACTTTTATTTGTGGGAGGTATGGTGTTTAAAGGTAGTTTCTAAAGAAAGGATTTGAACTTTGGCAGATTTAAGTATGGTAAGGTGTGGGTCACTGGGCTTCCATTTTCTTCTCACCCGTGATGCTAGGGAGGTCGTGATTAGGAAAAGGAGCAGTGGTACTGCTTTGAGGAGTTAGGACTTTGACATTGGGAATAACAATAAGTTCTGATAAATGATCAGTCAAGTCTTGTGGTATGGTCAAAGTGTTAACAGAGGAAATGCTGAGCTCAGTGTGGAAGTATCAATGTGTTTTAAGGTACTGAGATTAAGTAGAACATGGTCTTAAGATTTTACTTATGACTGAAGTTTATCTCAGATATTTAACATGTTTTGTGGTTTGATTTATTAACAAGTTTCTTTTTTCTTAAGGAAAACTTGCAAAACCAAAGCAAAGTGCCATCCAAACAGTAATGACTAATTTGCCTTCCCAGACTGCTTGGATACCACTCATCAAGACGTTACGGAAGAAAGTGTCAGCCTTCCTCCTCTCTGCCTTCAACGTTGACACAAATTTCAGCAAAAACCATGTAGTGTAGAAATGCATTTCTAGGTTTGGGTCCCCATTATTGTCCCTGGGAAGAGTTCTGGAGTGGAGCCACAACGTATGATCAGGCCAGCTTGTCCCTTTTGTCTGGCCAGGTGTTTGGGGAGTTGCCACAGGATAGAAAGAGGAAGTCCAAATGGCCAAAGCCTGAAGTTTGCCTTCACAGAAGCGTTTAAACACCCAGGTTTTCCTATACCGTACCAACTCTGTTTGGCTTTTTCTCCATAGTCTTAGTAACTTGGTGTTAAAACTTGAAGAGTGAGCCGGGCGTTGGTGGCGCACGCCTTTAATCCCAGCACTCGGGAGGCAGAGCCAGGTGGATCTCTGTGAGTTCGAGGCCAGCCTGGGCTACCAAGTGAGCTCCAGGAAAGGCGCAAAGCTACACAGAGAAACCCTGTCTCGAAAAACCAAAAAAAAAAAAAAAAAAAAAAAAACTTGAAGAGTGATTAGTTTTAAAGCATAGTTTGAAGGTTAACTAGCCTTTTATATTTTTAGATTATATTCAGAGATTATATATTGAGATTATATACAGAATAGTCCAGTGCAGTAGTCCATAGGAGCATCCCAGTTGCTAGTTTCCATTTGCGGAGGGATCTGACCTGCCAGTATAGTTGCTGAAATGCTTCCCTTCTTGGGTATCATTACCCTAATGGCTGTTTGCTTGAAGCCATTTTAGGCTGTGTGTGACTCGACTCGAGTGATGACTGAGAGGCATTGGAAGCGACAGAACATGTTCCCAGACAGACGTGTGCCAAGCTCTACCCCCTCTGAGCTCCCTCGCCTTCCTGTTTGTTTAATGCCCAGTTTTTACTTCCCTGTCTCTGACCTGCTGAAAGTCTGATCATTTTTAGTAGACAAGGACCATATGGTTCCAATCATTTTCTAGTACAGGGATGGGATGAGGAGGTTTGGGGCAGAGAGATTGGCTAGTGAGATCCTTGGTGCTAAGGCTCTAGATGTTGATTTTAAGTGGGAGTGATTAACAGCCCCACAGTTCACAAAGTAGTTTTAATGATTAACACGCAGGTATGCTTCTGACATCGAATTGTGACCTTTGAAAGTAGCACCATCAATGACGTATGACACCCCAAGGGAGAAGCTAGAAAATTGTTTGTTAGGTGTATTGAAGTGCTTTAGATGCATCAAAGTTTTGCTTTATTGGAAATATGCTAGAAGGCTATAGCCAAATTATTCCGGGTTTCTGAATGAACAAAGACCACAGACACAAAATCAAGTCCATTAAGTTACTAATAAGCATTTTTCCACACTAACATTAGACCTGAAAATATTGCCAAGAAATTTTTCTTCCATTATGAGGTGTTCAGTGTAGTAACATTTAACATTTCAACCAGTAGGTGTTTAAGCCATTTGAAGAGTCAAGATATATAATCCAAAGTGTTAAGGTGTTCCCTGAGCATTGAGAGCGAAGCCACAGTTCATTGCGGACCTATAGTTAGATCCACAGACGTATTGACACACACTGGAGGGCTACTGCATGCTTTAAAGAGCCTGTGCTTCACCATCCATTTCCAGCTAAAATTAAAGATCATTGTATTCAAAATTCCCGTTTGGATTCAAGCCAGGCTAGCTTTCTTGTTCACAGACTTGACTATGGAGTAACCTTGAATGTTCAGCAAAAATCTAGTTTTCAAGAACATACATGAAGCTTTTCAGAAAGAAGTATGGATTGCCCCTCTGATCTGGATTGAAACTTAGGCCAGAAAGACCTGCATCAAACACTTTGGAGATCTCTTGTCCTTGCCTTCTCCCTTTCACAGTGAGATAGCTTGATTTTTGGAATTGTGTATGTTTTCTTGGTTCCTTTTCTATAAATCTAGAACACAGAAATGGTATTAAAAAGGGAAAATGTATTTAGAAGGGTGTTTCTCAAGAGCACAGAATTACTGGCTGAAGCAAGTGTTTCTGAATAGAGATAATTAGGCCCTCTACATAGGAATGCTAGAAAATTAAATTAGGTTCAAATAGAATCAAATTACACCAAAGCTGAGATCAGATCTCTGCTGAGAAGAGGTTTTACTGTGGCTCAGGTTGGCCTAGAGATGTCCAACCTAAGGGCAGAATTCTACAGAGGAGTAGCATGAGCTCACTGACCTATATATCCAGTTAAAACCAGCTTTTTCACCCCATCATTAGGTTAAAACTTGAAAGTACATTTTGGGCTTAGCTCAGGAAGTGGTTATGGCATCTCGTACTCGTGTCATTCAACTCAATATGAAAAAAAAAGGAGTTTAAAGTAGTCCTGGAGGCAGTGGTATCACAGAATGCACAGGGCACACTGTCTCCACCTTCAGATCTCAATCCCATCTCCAGCACAATTCCCATGGGAGTATGAAAAGTTCAACCCTAAGGAAGATTTCTGACCAGCCTGGATACTTGAACAAAAATGGTCAGCACGAGAGCCACCTACTGGTAGTTACTGTGCAGTTTCTGTGGACGAATCTGCTTTAGCTTAAGGTGGAGAAGAGGGTCCGTTTTACCATAGGAAGATAATCTTTATCTGATTTATGAAGGAAGTACATGACATTGAGAGGTGGTCATAGTAAAACAGGCAATGGAAAAATTCCCTTATTTAAGCACATCAAATTTTGAACTGCCCCAAAAGATATAGAAGATACAAGACTGCTAAGGCTGCTTTTCAAGGTTTTTATAATTTTGCCCGCATGTTTCGATGTGCACCATATGTGTGCCTATTGCCTGTGGAGGATAGAAGAGGGCAGAACTAGAGATGGTTGGTAGCTGCCATTTGGGTGCTGAGAACTGAACTCAGGCTTTCTCCAAGAGCAGCAAGTGCTTGTCACCAGTTAGTCTCCTCTCCAGCCTGTACTGGCTGTCAGACGCTGTCTGTCAGGATTAGTGACAGCTGTTAGAAAAGATGGGTTTGGGTGGAAACGAAGCAGAGCACGGCGTTGCTCTTAGAACTATTCTGTTGCCTGGTGGTGCTTTATGCGAAGTGACTGGCGCGATTCTTGCAGTTATGTGAACTTTGCATATCAAAACAGATGTCAGAATGTCAAGGGAAAACACGGTTTGGGGTGAAGAGATCTTGGAGTCCCGTATCTGCTGTTTATCAACAACATGACATGACATTGGAGCTGTCTAGCCCTATTTGAAGAATCTAACACAGTGTACAAAGCATCTCCATATCCAAGACTCAACAAATATTAAAACCCCTCATGGCCACTGAATGTAAGGCAAAT